AAATTTTTGGTTGTTGAAGATGCTGAGGATTCATCGTATGCCCAACTTCTGAATCTGCAGCAGAATCTAGCGGAGGAAGTGAACAGAAAAGAGAGAAATAGTGAACACGATCCACCCCTTTTTATTATTTTTTCTTTTTTTTTGGCTCTTATTCAGGCAAAAAAAAACCCTTTTATTTTTTAGCTTAATGGGCTTAATCGTCCCTTTAATGGCTCTTCGCTGTCTCCTACGCTCCGCTCCTATTTGGGCCTCAAACGGCTTTGAAACGTGGGCCGCGGAGCGTGTAGGCCCATAACATTTCGTTGTACCCATATCGGTCCACGCCATTCCCAATATGGTCTTTGTGGCAGACCATCCATTTAAGAGACCGTGCCATTAGGGCGTTGCTGTATAACATTACAAGACCGAGCGTTTGGGCCTGATCGAGCGTGTATCTGAAAAATTAACGACAGAAAAATATCCACCCAGATATTATAAAAATCAGATAAAATTAAAATCTTGAGATTTTGGTGATCTGATCGGACTTTGAGTTAATTTTATTTTCAAATAAAATATGATTAAATTCACATCAAAATCATCAACTTAGATCATTTTGCTCGAATATAATATGTTCAAGAAGAAACTATATGACTTTACCAATGTGCTTAAATAAGTCCTTAAAGAATACATGTCGACTATTGATTTAGCCAGTTTTTTAAAACAATTTCATTATTATATTCTAGTGATTTTACCAAATTCCCCTTACACGTCATCAAAAACCAATTTAATATCTTAAAAATTCAACATGAAAGATAATTGAAAACAGAAACCTAAAAAACTTGAGAAAAGTTGAGAAAGAAAGTAGGAAAGATAGGGGGAGCAAGAATTTTAGAAGTGAAGGTTTTCTAAGGTAGAATTTCCTTAATAGATTAGAAAATATATCAAGAGGTGGTGAATTAGTTTCCTAAGGTATTTTGGATTTTTTAATATTTTAAAGATATTTGAGTAAATTATAATTATACTAGGTTGACACAATTATGTGGTTCAACACACAGTGATCTAAATGGGCTAACATGTTAAGTTATAAATGCGTTCAGTATGAAATATTATAGTCAACTTTTTCTTATTCTATGTCAAATTTTCAAGGATCCCTACACTTTTTTTCCATTATTCCCAAAGAATTATGTCACAACTTGCTGAGATCAGCATTCCTCTTCTTACATGATAAATTTTACAGCTCTATCTTCCTACATTCGACACTAAGACATTCACATGCATTAATAGATCCTTGCCATGTTCCAAATTTATAAGATATTTTTTCACATTGAACCATCTCCAAGTTTGTTGCAAATCAATTTTGCAACAAACTATGTCGCATGTCAAATACATTTGTTTTTTGACATGCCTTACTTGCTTAGCTAAATGGTTTATTGTGTGTCTAGTGAGCTTTCCCTGTTAGCATTTCATCTTTGTCTCTTTTAACTGAAGATGGTTCAACACTCTTTTTTGATCTACATACTTCTCTCTCAAGTACATCATTACAAATCTTGGAGAGGTTGACACATGGGTCAACTCACTTTCTCTCTTGCCTTCTAAATTGATTTCTCTAGATTTTTTTAAAAACCCAGTGATCGTATGACTTTTTACAACCTCAAAAATACATTCCTGAAATTAAAAAAATACTGATTTAGACCTTGAATTTTGTATTTATATACTTATGCAATTTTTCAATGAACGTCAACGGAGGTCAAATGAAAGACAATGTCATGGTAATTATTGTGCTACATAAATCATTATCATCATTCTTGCCAATCAAAAATGGATCTAAACAACAGTGTTGGCCTCTCTACAAATAATTTTGTCTATAGTTGAAGGTCAAACTATTTATATATCTTCTTTTTTTACTTGGAGAGTTTGCATATGTTTATCTAAACCTCATTCAAAGCTCAGCCAATTTTAGTCCAAAACATTAGGTTTATAATCATCAACGTCAGCACAGCATGCTCATTCATAAACCACCATTTTCAAGCACAACCCAAAATCAGACCCTTGAATCTTGAGACTTCAGAAACGATTAAAGTCATCTAAATCAAACTGAAGTGAAACTTAGTGAAGTAGAACAATGAGAAGCATTGTGACATGAGTAAGATGATCTCACATTTCATTAAGAAGTAATTGCAATGACTTTATTCAGCTTATAAGCCATTCATATCATTGGCATGATTAATGAAGATAACATCAACTATCTGCTTAACGAAACATACTTTATCAATTACTTTTATTCTTTCACCTTACATATTGTTGATGTTGTATAAAAAATATTTCAGAACTAAAAATATAATTCTATACAATGAAATAAGAGAATAGAGACTTGATGAATATCCCTCATTTTGGAGAAAACCAAGGAACATATAATTATGAATACTTCTTCAATTAATACATATTTGAAAAAATAATTACTCAACACTATGGTAAAAATAGAATTTTTTTATCAAGAATAAAACATTTAAATTCTGATCATGCTAAAGACTTCTTCTATTAGCACTCTATAGAGAATTAATTGGTAGATAATAGTATTAAAAATCCATTTATTATGCATTATCTCTTAGAAAACATATCTAACACATCATCTCTTGACCACACATCAGGTGCATAGTCCAGAAAAAAAAAATGTCTCTAATAATTTTTGAATCTAGAAGAATCTTATGATAGCAAAAAAAAAGGTCATTTCACATTCCTTTGATTAACAAGATAAGTGTTTAATGCCAAGGTGGTTGTTTTATCACAGGTGGAAGTTTGATTTCAGAATAATTAAATTTTCCTTTCAAAGTACAATTAAAATGACAATGTTGTCCATCACATACCAAAACTAGGCCTCAAACTGTGCATACGGTAGTCATTTTATCTGGATAGATCTCCTCAAATAGAGCTATTTCGCCTCCTCATTCTGGATCTACTTATTGACAGAGATAGTTAGGTTCGACTCTAAATGTTGTCCAACATGTCCTCTATAGAATGCAAGAAGTAGGAAATCAAGCAAACAACACACGTTCAACGCAAGCTAGAGACAACAAAGCAACGAAACTCAGTAATGAAAGGATTCAGGTACGGAGAAAAGAAAGTCTGCACAAAAAATTCTTCGAACGGGATTTCCTTGCGGATGCACAAATTAAGCCTCAAACGTGAACTCACTTGTATGTATGGGACTGAGCGCTCGGAATTCTGACTGCTTGTTGGCGGCTACGAAACAGTGAGATGAGACACACTGGGACAGTATGAGGAGATAACCTTGAAAAGCAGATCTAAGAGAAGGACGGATGACCGACACTCACCTCCGATAAGGAGGTGCACGGAACCTCTGACCCCAACTCCGGCAGACGCTGTTAATTAGAATTGCCGGGTGGTGGTGTAAGACTCCGAGTCCTTAGAGGTACGTTCTTTTCGTCCTGCACCATTCATGCAAGCATCTCTCGAGCGTAAGTGCTCAAGCTTATATCATAACAGTTTGCCCGTGAACCGATGTGGAAACTAATTCCTTCGTAGTGTATGAATGAAATCGAACAGCTTCCTGCGGATGACATTTGTGTGCCAAGGGAATAACAGAAATTAACCGCGGAGATGAGAAGTGATGCACACTGTTCCCATTAGTCGGTTCTGTGGTCAATTCGGAACAGCCATTGAAGGACTCAAGCACCTCAAGTTCGTGTGACTGATGCAGTGCATGTAACCGGAGGTTTACTCAGAGAGCCGGAGCTGCAACCGGGGTGACCACCCCTCCCCATTCCCATTGGTGGGCACAAGCTCAGAAGGACACCCAGTGAGAGAGCGAGAGAAGAGAGAAGAGAGAGAGAGAGAGAGTGAGAGGGTGAGGACGCTTCGAATTTCCTGCCGTGCGGAAGACATCGTCGTCGAGATGGATGTCAACGCCCCGCTCTTTCGTCCAGAAGAAGAGCAGAGCTCATCCATTCTCTCTCTCTCTCTCTCTCTCGTGAACATCTGAGGTGAAGTTTCCTGGGACGGATATTCGAACCTCGGGAATAATACCGGGAAGATGCTCGACGACCGCATTGGTGACGACCAGAAACCAAATAGATAGAAATCATTTAATAATCATGAAGAGCCGATCACTTCGAAGTAATATTTACCTTCAATTATTTTAGAATCCCTCGGTCAACGGGCCTTCGAGACTGCATTAATTGGGCGGAGATCTGACCGTTTAGTCCGATTGGCTTTGCCCATCCCCAGGCAAGATCTTTCCTCCAATTGGGAAATTCCTCCGGCTGGTCCCCCACGTGGCGCCGCGAAGGTGTTGACAGTTCCAATGGCGCCAATCGATGACGTCATCAGCCTGGTTGCCTTCATCCGGCCGGATGCAGTCGGGGGCGACAGATCTGGTCTAAACCTTTTCTTTCCAATGACCCCCAAAAGAGAGCACAAATGATGGTCATTTCCTAATAGATCAGTATTTGTCAAATGCCCCCCAAAAGAGAGCACAAATGATGGTCTTTTTCTGTTCACTCTGTGTTAAACAGGACTATATTGACAATTAATTATCTATTTGTCATTTTCTTTTCAATCTTGGCCTCCCTAGTAGCTCTAGAAGATCTTCCTCGCTCTCGCTCGTTCCCTGGTCGCAGCGGCTTCCAAGTGTTCAACAGGATTCCCTACTCGTCCGCTGTCAAGGGTCAACGTCAACGCCTCTATCTCCTCATCTATTAACACCTGCCCCTCTCTCTCTCTCTCTCTCCCGTTCTCTCTCGATAGTTGTTAAAGCCTCTTAGGGAGCGTGCAGAGAGCTTGCGTGAAGAAGATCAGTGGCCTCCATGGCCGGATATTCCGCACCGAATTAACCTCTCCTTGGAGAATATCTCTCCTTCCCGCACGTCACGGTTTGCCAATCCCTCTCTTCCCTTTCTCTATTTAAACCCCGCCGTTAGTAGGCCACACACAGCGCCGCCCACTGCTCCCTCTCCGCTGACGGCGTGCGGCTTCTTCTTCTGGTTTCGCCTGCGGTGGAGAGAATGGGAGGGCGAGGTTGGCCCCGTGGTGTCCCGCTAGGGCTGGTGGTGTTGGCGTTGCTGCTGAACGCCGCCGCGCTCTGCCGCGGAGGGGTCACCAGCCGCTTCGTCCGCCTCCAGGAGAAGGCTGTGGATATGCCCCTCAACGCCGACGTCTTTCGCATCCCCCCCGGCTATAATGCTCCCCAGCAGGTACCTACATCTCTCTCTCTCTCTCTCTCTCTCTCTCTCTCTCTTATGTGATAGCCTAGTAGGGAGGCAATCTGATCTGATTTGGGGCTCTGGTGGGAAGGTGCACATCACCCAGGGGGACTACGAAGGGAGGGCGATCATTGTCTCCTGGATCACCCCTGCTCAGCCCGGCTCTAGCGCCGTCCTCTACGGCACATCCCCGAAGAAGCTCTCTTCCCAGGCTGTGGGCATCGTCCTCCGCTACATGTTCCACAACTACACCTCCGGTTTCATCCACCATTGCCTCCTAAAGGACCTCGAGGTACACCCCCACCCACCCTCCCTCTTTCTCTCTCCTCTCACTCCCGCCCACTCTATCTATCCATCTTTTTATGAATGTATCATCTCCCTCCTTTTTCCTTGGGTATCCCACTCCCTTTCTCTCTCTTGATGGCCCCGATCGTCCTCGCCATCGCAGTACGACACGCAGTACTTCTACATGGTGGGAATCGGACAGTCGCCGAGGACCTTCTGGTTCAGGACGCCCCCCAAGGTCGGCCCGGATGCCCCCTACACCTTCGGCCTCATCGGAGATCTCGGCCAGAGCTTCGACTCCAACAAGACCCTCGCCCACTACGAGGCGAACCCTAAGAAGGGCCAGACGGTCCTCTTCGTCGGAGACCTCTCCTACGCCGACACCTATCCAAATCAGGACAACGTCAGATGGGACACCTGGGGCCGCTTCGTCGAGCGCAGCACCGCCTACCAGCCCTGGATTTGGACCGCCGGCAATCACGAGATCCACTTCGCCCCTGAGCTCGTAATGCTCTTCTCTCTCTCTCTCTCTCTCTCTCTCTCTCTCTCTGAACTCTCTCTCTCTACACACTCTCTCTAAGCACAACGTCTTCTTCCCTGATCCACAGGGGGAAACCGTCCCGTTCAAGCCGTATACGTCGAGGTACTTCGTGCCTTATCAGGCCTCCGGGAGCATAGCTCCATTCTGGTACTCCATCAGGAGGGCCTCAGCTCATATCATCGTTCTGGCCTCGTACTCCGCCTACGGTACGCTGGAGTTTGCTCAATAGGGAAAGGTGGGGGGCGGAATATGCTTGCTAAATGGGTCTTAGGTGGTTTTTTTCCCTTTCCTTTCAGGGAAGTATACTCCGCAGTACAAGTGGCTGGAGGAGGAGCTGCCGAGGGTCAACCGGAGCGAGACGCCTTGGCTAATCGTGCTCATGCACTCGCCGTGGTACAACAGCTACAATTACCACTACATGGAGGGGGAGACGATGCGGGTGATGTTCGAGCCGTGGTTCGTCAAGTACAAGGTTGACCTCGTGTTCGCCGGCCATGTCCACGCCTACGAACGCTCGGTGAGTCCCATCCCCTCCTCAGCCGTTGACAATTTTTGAGCTCCATCAATCACCCCACTGTCTCGATTCACTCGATCCACTCGGTGAGTAATGTTCCATTTTAGGAAAATCGAGTTTCTGTTTTTCTCGTTAGGTCCTCTTCTGCTGAGCTCTGTTCTTCCGTTCATCTCGTCCCGATAGAATTCTATTCTAGGCAAAATTAGAATGTAAAGTTAACCTTTTTCATGATAATGCGAGAATTTTCCTAAAAGGGGTGTGTACCCATTTGCCCCAGAGACCTCCTCCCAGTCACTAACTCCTCTTGGCAGACTCTGATCCTTTCTCCCTCTGACTTTTCATCTCTCAGCACCGGGTGTCGAACATCGCCTACAACATAGTCAACGGGAAGTGCACGCCGGTGCGCGACCAGTCAGCGCCCGTGTACATCACCATCGGAGACGGCGGGAACCTGGAAGGGCTCGCCACGAAGTACGTTTTTCTCTTCCTCCTTCGGGGGAGGATCCGTATAATCCCCGTTGACCTTGTTTTCTCCCCACCCTTTGACTTTTATCTATTCTTCATCTCGCAGCATGACGGAGCCGCAGCCGGGGTACTCCGCTTTCAGAGAGGCAAGCTTCGGCCACGCCGTCCTCGACATAAAGAACCGGACCCACGCCCACTACGGCTGGCACCGCAACCAGGACGGCGCCGCAGTGGAGGCCGACTCCCTCTGGATCTACAACAGAGTCTGGAACCCCAAGCCCGAGACCGACTGAACCCCCCCTTCTCTTCTCTTCTCATCTTCTTCTCCCACCTCAAGCAGAGAGGAGGATGAGAGGGGGAGATAAATAACTGGCTTTGTGAAATAATGGCGTATATCTTATTTTCATGAATCAAACCTGACTGATTTCAGTCCTGATTTTTCGTGGGCTGGGCGGTTTTAATGGCCCTAGAGAGGATGACCCAGGAAGGCCCGTTAGGCCACAGTGGGTCAAATGGATTGACTTAAACCCCCTTCTCTTCTTCTTCTTCTTCTCCCTCCTCACGCAGAGGGGAGACTGAAAGGGGAGGGTATTATCATCTTTTTTTCACTAATATAAGAAGGCCTGGCTGATTTAGTAGCCCACGTGGCAGGCAGCTGGCTGATTTTTCCGTGGGTTAGGCCCGTTGACTGGGGCCTGGGGAAGATGACCCAGGAAGGCCGGCCCCAGAGACCAAGGTTGGATCTTTCTATCGGTTGAATCATGAGTCGGGCTTTTATCTAGAGAGAAGATGGGTCAACTTTTATGAAAGATTAAGGAAGGCAGAACGCAAGACTTGAGCGCATGAAGCTCAATCTTTTATAGTGTGCGAAGTCAACCATTCAGAGCTTCTCTGTCCTCGCATGTTCTACTCTCACAGCCTGACGGCCGCCCACAGATAAAGATCAGATTACGCTGGCCGGCCATGGCCATAGAAGGGAAAATCATCCAAAAATCTTGCCGATGAAGATGAGGCGGCGGCGGCGGCGGCGGTGGCAGCTCATTGGTACAGCTGTTTCAACCTCCGGCAGGCTTCCAGAACATTCTCGCGGTGGCCGAAGGCGCTGACTCTGACAAACCCCTCGCCGCCAGGTCCGAACCCGCTGCCCGGGGTGGTCACCAGGTGGGTCTTCTCAAGAATCTCAGCAAACACGTCCCACGAGCTCCTGCCCGGGAAGTGCACCCACACATACGGCGCGTTCTGTCCGCCGTACACGTTGAAGCCCATAGAGCTGAAGGTGTTGACGATAATCTGGGTGTTCTCCTTGTAGAAGTTGACCACGTTGTTCATCGCCTGAAGTAGGAATTTTTGGTTTTTTTGGTAGAAGAAAGGAAAAGTCAACGGATGATGATGATGATGATGATGATGATGATGATGATGATGATGATGATGATGATCCTGGTGACCCTCACCTTGAGACCCTCCTCCGAGAGGCAAGCCAGGCCGCCTGCCTGGGCGATGTTGGAGGCCCCATTGAAGCAGGTGCAGACTATGCGGTTGAAGTCCCTGGCGACGGGGAACCCGTCAGAAAAGACCAGCTCCTTGGGAACGACCGTCCATCCCAGACGGACGCCAGTGAAGCCTGCAAACTTAGAGAAGGACGACGTCTCGATGGCCACCTGGGACACAATAACCCACGACTGGATGAAAGAGATCCTTGTAGATATTTCTAATTACAGACAGTATTCAATGTCAAAATAACTGTCTAGGAAGATCAGAAATACTTGACTATGTCCAGAAAATAATTTGGCTTCTCGTTTAATCATGCACTATGATCAGTAAGATATCAGCAAATGTGGCTTCCCCTCATCTTTCAACATCATTGGCTGATTCATGTCAGCCCAAGTACGCTGTCTAAAGTTGACATGAGTCGACCGGAGGGCATCATCCTTCTCCGGAGCTATACTCACACCAATTCAAACTAAGTGGTTACTAAATTTTTTTGCATGCTTTCCTCAAGCGGGGTTGAGACAGATTTCTTTGTAAGCTTTCCTGCGAGAACTCTGCAGGAAAGTGAGAATGAAAGAGTATAGGAGGGCTGTTCCATGGCCAGCTTGTGTTCCTGGCAGGAGCAGAATCCCGTCACCACAATACTTTTTAATTTGGATCATTAATATACTAAGTGCAACTATGGTAAGAAGGAATCCAGAAAAATAAAACGCTGAAAACCAGAGAAGATATGGAGCCCTGACGAGGTGGGGTACGAGAGGAAGTGAAAACTATTCAAACGCTAGCATTCTCATTGAAAATTAAAACATTATTCACTCTAGCATATGCCTAAAACGTGAAGAACACATTTTCTTGAGCTTACCTCCTTTGCACCAGGGATTTCAAAGATGGAGCGAGGACTGTCGTCTGAGATATACATGGAGTAAGCAGAATCATACACTATGATTGATCCATTGGCCCGGGCAAAATTCACAAGCTTAGTCAGCTGATCCCTGGACGCCGCTGACCCCGTTGGATTGTTTGGTGAACAGAAGTAGATGACATCAGTCTCAGATACATTTGACAAATCAGGAAAGAAACCATTGTCAGGTGTGCATCTCATATATTCAATATTTCCAAACTTCTCGACATCCTTCTGGTATAAACCAGTCTGCCCCATGATGACGCTAGAATCAACATACGCCTGTAGTTTAGAGCAATGGTTAAAATAACATATTCAGAAAAATGAGATCGTTTCTCAAGGATGTGAGCTTAAGTGCTTAAGTGACCAATTGAAAAAAATAATCTTAATTTTGAATCTTAACAGAGTTAAAATGCTAAAATAAGGAAACTAAACTAGCGAACAAGTTCGTAGTAATCAATTGATGGAGAGCAGAATCTTCCTGTTTCTGTCTCATAAACAGGTAAGAGAAGGAATAATACAAGCAGCCACAAAGACTTTACCGGATAGGATGGATCTTGCACAGCTATCTTCACATTGGCTCCAAATAGAAGCTGCAGATAGAATAGAAGAATTAAAACATTAAAAAAAAAACTTTTCAGAGTTGAATACATTTGAATAAAGAATAAGCAGATATATTCCACGAGAAATTGCATACAAAATAACTAGAGAAAGGAAAATTATTCCGTTCAAGGAGCCAGCATTATCATTTTTCCCTATGACATAGTAGAGCATTTTCGCCCAAGTACAAGAAATGCTAAAAAATGCTAAAAAAGTCCACCTGAAGACGAGAAATGTCACATTTTGCACCATCTGAGACAAAAATATCATTTTCTTCTATGCCAACATCTTTATAGTAGGTTGATGCTATTGCCGCCCTCAGTTTCTGCAGAAAAGAGATTAGAAAGTTTACTCACATGGTAGTATTTATCTTTCTGCTCAATTAGTCCAATGGGAGTATTCCATGATTAATTGACGAATTAATCTCATAAAATTTTAGTGCATGAGCTGCATTGCAAAAGAGTGTGCTTGACGACTCACCTTACAGCTTTAACCTTGAGAGAAAGAAAAGACAAATGTTGGTGCAGTAAAGGATACAAATGCAAACCTGGCTCTAATAAAAATAATTTAAGAAAAGACAATGACCAAAGGATTTCAAATTCTCTGTTGGGTATGTTTGCAAGAAAACTTCTTAATAAACTTCTCATTCGGAAGTATGTATGTGCTAATAACTCCTCACAATGAACTTCTAGTTAAACTAAATGACGAAATCGGCTCCAAATTTCATTAACGGTACAGAATCAGGTTGGCCATATAGTAAAAATTCCACATTCAGTTTTATGATTTCTCCATTATAAGCTTCCAATTAAGTATAATTTTGATCCTTATCCCTCATTACGAACTTCTGGTTAAACTAAATAATGAAATTGTCACAAAATTTTCACCTATCACACTGAACAAGGCACTGACCATAGGATGCATTCGAAAAATTGGTACCAATAAGATCCTTATTAGTTGACTAAAGCTGATAAATAAGACCATGATCTAGCTGAAAAACAAATTGGTTCTATTTGTTTCTTTGTAAGTTTTATTCCAGAAAATAAAATTTCTTTATCACTTTGGTGAATATACAATCACAAGTAACATAAGTAAAATAAGAATAAAGTTTATTAAGTTCAACACAAACAAAGAAATAAAGTAAAACAGTAATATGATTCCCTAAAGCCATAATTTTTACATAAACGGGAAAAAAATGATTCAGTAGACCGCTAATGGCAAGGGCTCCTCAATATCAACGCTTATTCTTTACTGTATCATGATCAGAGTTGAATTATATTACAGATCCATGTCAAGGCCCACCAGTGGTGGAGCAATTAGTAGGTGAGTTCTGCTTCATAATGCATCAAAATATATTAACAAATGAAGAAGATTATAAGATGTCGCTACATCTCAATAATGCATTATATTTTAGATAGTTTTACCACGAAAATTTAAGCTGAGCCTAGAACGTGAACATCCTGAATACGGCTCCCTGGATAGTTTCCCGTATCTCATGTAACAGACTTAAGGTGAAGCTTCTTGAACTAGACCTATTCAATTTCACAAACTTGAGATGTGACTAGTGTCTAGTGCTTCTATCTGCAACTAACTTGATAAGGAGTGTCCTAGAAGATTTTATATTTGTTACAATGCTGATGGATATCATGTAAGTTTACCATATTTTTATCTTGGCATATTGCATTAAAAACTGCTAATGTTTTTGGTGCAAATCCAAGCGTAACAAATTTAGTTAACCAGTTTTTTCGCGAGAGGGAAACACAAAAGCTATCACCAACTAGCATAATGTCACTATAGAGTAAATAAGAAGAAATCTTTCCACCGTACCTTTCATGGATCCAAGGTCCACAAATCACAAATCATGGCAGATGCAATACATATGCATATAAAATATGATGGCATGGACAAGTCGCAAAGACAAATTTATCTAAGATAAAGCAAACAAAAAGTCCAAACCTTCTCTCCTTGCTCAGCCCCGTAACCACTATAACCTTCAAAAGTTGATAATTCTTTTGCTCTCTGTAGACAAAAAGTTTTAGTTAAACATAAGTGCATTTGGATGCAACAAAAGATCTATTAATTTCTGAGTTACAGAAAAAATTAAATTGCACAAATGGACTTTCCTTTTTTTAATTGAAATTGAAATAGAAATCTTCAAAACTTCATACTCTAATGTTTTAAGCAATGATCTTCAAACTCGCACACACGATGCTCAACTATATTTACTTAAAAAAAGAAAGAAAAGTATCAATTTCCGTTGTCACAACAACAATGAATGCTTCTTCGATGTTTTGTTTTGGAAAAGATAAATTTATTAACTTGATGAGCATAAACCACTGGGACATCGCATCATGTTCATGGATATATAAAAGGTTGAAGGACTGCGAAAACATTTCATGTTCTAGTGCTTCATCCGAGAGCCATAGACAAAGACTAAGAGTGGATAAGCAAAAAACATAAAGACAATATTCTTCATAACCATGCGAGTGTGAGATAATAAGAATTGATCCACTTGTCTATGGACGAAAATGAAATACACAAGAACGTATGACATGTGCTTTTCAACATCTTTAGCTCATTTGGCCACAAATATTGACCCAGGCTCCACTCTACACTGTTGATTCCGAGTTGGAAGGCCAGAAAACTCAAATAAATTTAAAATGTTCGCGTCCACTTGAATCAAGACACGAAAAATCATGTCAGATCAAACTATTGCAGTTAGGTCTCAGAGTAACTCGGCTATGGCTCATACAAATCTGTATAAAAAGTTTGTCATAACATAAACTAATTTAGAAAATTCAGACTTGGACGTGGAAAAATCTAACATGTTCCATCCCTAGAATCTACAATGTTTGGTTCGTATTAGTCAGAACAAAGGGGAAACTAATCGGCAAACCCTAAGTAAGTTGTGAACTGGAAGGTCTCTAACTTTCCCAAGGTTTACTTGGCATCAACCATCAACCAGGTTATTCTCGACATCAAATGGCAAATTGAGGGTTCAACTTGAAAACTTAAAAATAACCAGGTTATTTTCACTCCAAACTTAAAAACACAGAGGCACCTTTCAACTTGAAAAAATCTCATCCACCCACAAAATATATTTCAATTCTACACCTAGAGTGGATAAATCCATCAAATGTAAGCAATTATTCATCAAGAAAGTTGAAGTACACTGTAACAGCCATATAACCGAAATAAATTCTGCATCATGCAAGCTTGCAACATTAGCAAATGTAATAAACCCCTAAGATTTTGTTTCATATCTTTTATAAGTGACAGCACTTTCATGAAAGGATCAAATCCCAAAGAAAACTACATAAAAATACTTCAAGGCTGAAAGCATAGCATTACCGAAAACATTCACAAATATTCAAGACAAGATAAGGAAAGTACTGCAGCCGTTTCATATGAGGAATGATTATCTATCAAAATATATGAAGGAACAACAAATAATAACACTTTTTTCAATTCCACATGATTAATTTCCTCTCTTTCATGAAAAATAAATATCGAATTCATCATCAAATCACCAAAAAAAATGTATAAATAAAAAGAAATCGGGATGGAAGATGGCATTACCAAAGCCATAGCAGATGTTATGACTTCAGGAATCGGTTCAGTTGTGTCACCAATCCCAAGACTTATCACCTTTGCATCAGGATACTTGGAAATATGTGCTGATCTCCTTCTTGCAATCTAGCATCAGAGAAAAAAATGAAGTTCCAGTTATAACACCTCTTTTCTAAAGGAAAAATTTGTGGTCAGCATTCAGCAAAATAATAAATACAATTACGATTTAACAGCTAGGACTCAGATTAAGCTCAATACAACAACATCCTAAAAAAAAAATACAGACATTAAAGGAGAATAGCGTAAAAATAATATTGACAATATGTCATACAATAGGTAAGTGCTAAAGCAAGTAGATTCCACTTTCCCCGGGTTACTACTTATGGGGTATATCATGAAAACCTATAATCTTAAAATTGCATCTTCAATTAATCCTCTCCAGAACTGCACACGACCTGATTATAATGATAACCACTTAAGGTTATGAAAAGGGAAAATAATGGTGTCAACAGTGTCAATATTTCAAAAGAAACCTTTTCAGTCCTTTTAATATAATGAATACAAAAATGAGATTCTTACATAAATAAAGTGACGTAGCAGAACCCAGAAAGAAGACTGGAAGTTGAATATACAAAAGACGAAATTAGGTATCCTTGAATCTACAAGAATCAAAAAAGGAGGCTTCTTGAATCTACGAGGAGAGAGAGAAATAGATCAAAATAACATCATGAGTCAAAGATACCATCTTGAATAGCAGTGTGTCCCCTATAAGTAGGCAAAAACATATAGCATGTGATAAGAAAGTCTGCTAATGGATAAGATTTTCAGGACAAAAGGAAACAATTTTTAAGCCTATAAAGAGAAAACGCATTATGCCTGTGAACCACCTAGACAATTCTATTTGAGTCTCTGACACTTTACAATTTCAAGCCTTCTTGGCTGCACTTTTTTGGCCTCTCTTATTTCCCACCAATCTGTTCTACATCATGTATAGAGCTATTACCTATGTCCGGACTCATTTATGACAATGCAAGCGTCCACAGAAGGGAATAATAGCACTTTTTCTTTCCTGTAAACTACCATTACTTCCACAATAACCAACCTCAACAGACAACGAATTTCAATCTATGGACAACTTTAGCAAGACGCAAACAAGCAGGGACGCTGAAAGAAATGCCAGAAGAAAAAGAGTGCAGGAAATGCAGAAAAAAGAAGGGAAGAAGACACCTCTGGCCCATACCAATTCCAAGACAGAGGAATGAGTCTGGGCCTAGTGGAGAAAGTAAGAAGAGATTTGAGTGTTGAGCTCACATCTGTGTTGCTCTCCTAGGCCTGGCAAGTAGAAATAAGAAAAGATTTGGTGGTACTAGTTCCTACACTTGTCGTCATCTCCCTAGCACCGTTCCTTATCACCTCCATATTTCATTCTGTTTGATTAGTAAACGACGCATAAAATATTTACGACCTCAATATTTATGGCCAAGTTTTGTTTGATCTAGTGTTACATCAGAAAGATTTATTATCATGACATGGTTGCACCCTTTACAAAACTCTTTTAGGTCCCATGTGATCACTGATATAATTTAAGCTACAATGTTGCCTTTTTAATGCCCATCAACCATTTGACATCATGCCACTGCAAAAACTGCATTAAAGACATCATGGGGCAAGTATAAATAGAGAACACCACCATCACAAAGCTTTCTCATTAAAAAGACCCTGAATATGACTTCTTGCATTGCCTTGCTCATACTTCTCACATGAGATTTAAGGAACCTTAGACTCCACTATCTCATGAAGATTGAATGAAATCTAATTAACATTTTCCAAACCGATATTAGTCTGGCAATGACTCTTATCAGTCTTCTTTTTCTCAACGGAATAGAATAGGGGGACAAAGATAGAAAGAGGCAATCAAAGTCTGTCAGAGAAGAAGAGATGGATGAGAATGGTATAGAAGATAAAGAGGAAAAAAAAGAGAAAAAAGAGAGGACAAGATACAGGTCAATGACGAAGAAAATGGAGTGAAAATAACGGAGTAACATGGTCTATTTTTTGCTGGATATTTTGGATGCCTTGAAAATGGAGGTTGACCCACTAATTGTATGGATGGACGCCAACTTCAGCATTCAGAAACAAGTACTTTGCCAATTGCCTCTCAACATGAAATCCAAGTTCCCAAACATTTCCATCCAATCTACAACATAGTCCACCAAATGTCGAAGGAAGACCAAAAGTTTTAATGGAGAAACTAATGATTGAACCTCCGGGAATACCCATACAGAATTTCAAATTTCATGGTGAGTTAAAAATTAAAGTCTTGCCTCTCATTCTGGGCTATGTGATTTTTCAATGGAATTCCGAAGGGTTTCAGATGAAGAGAAAGTCAGACCTAAGACTCCTCATCAGTCTATAGAAGAGAAATAAAAAACAAAGGAAATAAAATGACCTGGACATTCTGAAAATGCATCTTTTGATTTCAGTTATTTATTTGAAGAGCTAAAAATATCATCACGTCATCTGACGTAGTCTCAAAATGTTTGCCTTCATCTTTCTTCCATGTCATGACAAAGGCAAAGGTCATCTACATTGAAACATCGTCCACATTAATCAATGGCCAAATGGCATTCCAGCAGATATACATATATGCCTCTAGAAATTAAGAGAATATGGAATTAATTTAAACACAATGTACTTCACTCTTCACAGCTGCAAAATCAAGATGCTCGCAAAGAAGCAACGAAAAACATAAATTGTCTTAATTCAGTACTATGTGAGACCAATGCCCTCAAAGCCAGTGCCCAGTTAGACTAACAAGCACTAACTATTGGCAGAATTCACTATTTAAACATGAACAAGTACAAAGATGAAAGGGGATGAGATTTTGTTGATCCCTTAAGAGACATCATGTTGAATAAAGATTTGAGCGTAGCTAAAGATTTTTTCTCACGGAATGCAAGCTTCAAACTGTAGAGGAGAGGAGATATTCATGTTTGGCAGCTGCACAGAATTTTTCTTTCCTAGAGAGATTCAAGCTTCAAAGAAGTATATCTTTAATGGAAACATGAATCTGCAATTAACTAAGGCAGATGATTCAAGGCATTTTCCTTTTGACATTACAAATTTGAGTGAGCAAATTTTCTTCAAAAACAAGGACAGATTTCATGCGAACCATTAAAAGTAAGAACAAACACAGATCGAAAATCGTCATGATAAGATAGTGAAGCCACCAAAGCACAAGAAGAGGAATAGACATTTGCTTGGTAAAAAAGTTAACCAGAAGCGAAGGCAGTATCTATTCAATTCTCAGCTTTTGTGGTATTTTTCAAAATACAGAGTCATTACTGATGAAATCAATGAATCATGAAACTTTCATCTTTTCACGAGTTGGCTGAACCCATCCACTGAAATATTTTTTATGCACATACTCGTTTGATCAGTATCAACAGATGAGCAACGATACAAATCTACACCATCACCAAATGATAGATCTGTTGGCAAGAAGAAAAGCCACAGAAACTAAACTAGTTAGGCACCACTCGGCAGAACAATTCAAAGGCAATCAGGCAGGCCAAGAGTCGGATTATGAACAATATAGCAGTGAAATAATTGAGCATCAAGTGGGTCCTGTTGCTTCGCTTAAATATGGTGCTTCTCACAACAAAAAAAAACACAACAGATATCCATCAAATCTGTTCTTACGGCTATGGACTCCTCCAAAACAAGAAGTTTTTTTTTTGCGGAACGCCATTATCTCAGGGAAATTAAACATATATTCGTATTCCGTTTGAAAAACCCTGGCCAAACAACAGGCCTCGCCCAGTTAGTGACTCACGTTAATGGCAACAAATATCAAACCTTCTGGGGATGGACGTTCCCTAAGTACAGGAGACCGAGTTATAAAGAGAGGGTCGTACACACCTCGGGGAATAAATAACCAGCTTGGAGCTTCGCCATGTTCGCATTCCGAGCCACCTTGGTCTTATGAGCTTCACAGCAAGAAAGGGAAGAGAAACAAGGAAACAGAATAAGACGAAGAAGAAGAAGAAGAAGAAGAAGAAGAAGAAGAAGAAGAAGGAGAAGCTTGCAATCAGCAATGAAATTGCCAATCACACAAAAGGTGGGTGCTTGAGAGAGAGAGAGAGAGATAGAGGACCAGTCTGCTCGGTGGGCGGCGCGGCGGACACACACTTGCAGACGGAAAGCTTTCGTGACGGCAGCAGCGGCATCGAAAAACTGCGAAAGACATACCCGAGAGCGTGTTACGGAACGAGAGCTGCGATTTCCCTGAGCGTGCGAGAGGAGAGTCAGGAATGCCCAACGATGTAAACCTGGTTTCGGGCCCGACGCCCTGCCCCAGGAAGGAAGACGACTTGGCAGAAGAGACCAGCGCCGAGACGCTCTGAATCGCCGCCGTCAGTGACATATCCGCTCTCCCCGCTACCGAACACCACCCGCCTCTCCTAGATAATCCTCCTCACCGGGAAGAACGACGGTGGCGGCCTGCAGAAGGGACGCGGCGGCGGAGAGGAGGGGATCAGCCAAGGGACTGCGCTTCCGACTTGCGAAGTGGAAGGTTTACAGGTTAAAGCTGATCCTACAAGCCACAGCAGCCAATACGGATGGTACCCTAAGTCACGTGACTTAAAAATGAGCTTTATATAGCTTTGACCTTCCCTATGTCAAAGTCAACCAATCAACAAGGTATCCTCTTCGTAAGCGCACCAAGAGAGCAATAACCCCCGCCTTAGTTGACTTTAGATATGCTTCATTTTGCTCCCCAAAATCCAAGACAACCAACCAACCATGTATATTCTTCATAAACCCACTAAGAGAGCAATACAACCCTCATTGACTTGGTTGACTTTTAATATATCCACATGTGCAACACTGACCTCATTTTGACTTTATTGCATACTAAAGATACTCCTATTTGCTCTCCACAGTCAAGTCAACCAACCAACCAAGTATCTTCTTCATAAACTTACTAAGAGAGCAATACCACCTCCACTACTTAGGTTGACTTTAGATATATCCAAATACACACATTTCATCTTCTCATCTTTCATTTTGGCTTTAGTACATACTAGAGTTACTTCAATTTGCTCCCCACAATCAAGTTAAGTGACCAATTAGATATCTATGACTTTTGGACTATTAGTGAATTGAAATGGAAGCTAATTGAAATACCAAGAAAGGGAGGATGAATTAGTTTCCTATGACTTTTAGACTATTCTTGTTTTTTATCTATGAGTGAATGTGTTGACATTGATTATCTCACATCTCTCTCATTCTAAGTATGAGTTTATTAAAAGCTCACTCTTTCTCTTTGAGAGCTCTCTCTCAATTTTCAGCACCACTAAAGACACCAAAGATTTTTATATTAGCTTGCTTATCACTTGATTGCTTTCAGTCTCAAATGATTTTTCATATCATAATTTGCTATTTTTTCATAGAAATACACATTGATTAAATGGGATCAATAATAAAATCACAGTAGTTCAATTTCCTTAGAAACCTCATTCTTTACAAGCACAACTAAGCTCTTAGCACCATGTGTTTTACCTCAAACTTCTTTCCACTCACCACCCAAATATCTTAGAACTTGATAGAGAGCATCAGCCTTTGAAACAAATGTTGGTTTAAGTCACTATCATTGAATATCAAATTATAACTTTTAATTTTCTATTGAAACTCACGATGATTGAACCTTAATAGATAGAAAATAATACTCATTACAATGTAGACAATTGTTGGAGTAATTTGATAGTTGTTAAACTTTTATTTTTCTTCACAAGCTTTTTCTCATGTCTTCAATGTTCTCTAGACATTTTGCATATTAAAAATTGCTCATGTAAATTCAAAAATCATTTTGTTGCTTAGAATACATTCTAATGACTTTTTTCTATTTTTTGCTTCAAAACTTACTATTTTTACATCTTTTTTATTTGAAACTTGGTCCAGAAATTTATTTATTATTAATAAACATTTTTTTGTGGAGATTGAGTATAAATAAACTCATTTAATATGTAATTATCTCCATATATTATGCCAACATGCCATTATCCAAAATGTATGGCAATGATCTCTTTTCTTTTCATCATTTTCTATATATTTTATTGCCTATGTTTTTAATGTGTTGTTATATAGATTTTGAGTTTGAGTTTTGCGGGTGACTCTAATACCTTGATTTTTCACATATTTCTTCACTAAGGCTTCTAACTTGTCATAGTTCAAATTCTGACTTTGATACTTGTTGATGCTTTTTATATTTCATATTTTTTAAAGACATTTCTTTGCTAAGGTTACCAACTTATCATCATTCAAGTTCTAAGTTCAAATTTGCACGTAAATTATTATTCTATGACACTAGATATTTCATCGTTGAGGCTTCCAACTTTCATCATTTAAGTTTTGAGTTTAAATCTTGTTGTTAACACTAATATTTTGATATTTTTTAAATATTTTATCACATGTGTTGACACTATATTTTCTATATTTATATATGAGTTCTAGAATGCTCCATTAGTTCCAATATATAAATATCTCAAGTAATCATTCCTTTAATTTATTTGTTAGATATAAGATTATGCAAACATTATTATTATACATGTTGAATAAGTCTTGAAAATATTAAAATTCTAACATAAGCCTACTTAGAAATTAATCATGAACTTTATTCAATATTTAGTTAATAAATTTTCGCTTATAATATTCAAACCAAGGGCATATCAACATCTTTTTCATAAGCCTACTATGAAATTAATATCCCCCTCCTCCCCCCCATTACCTTAGCTGACTTTAGATATATCCACATGGGCAACGCATAATCATCTTTCATTTTGGCTTTATTTTATGAAGATACTCTAGCTTGCTCCCCACAATCAAGTCAACCAGCCAACTACGCATGTATCCTCCTCATAAACACACCAAGAGAGTAATACAACTCCACTTTTTTAGTTGACCTTAGATATATCCACATAGAGAGCACCACACCTTCTCATCATCTCATCCTCCATTTTGACTTTGGTGTATATCAAAAGATGCTCTATTTTTCTTGCCAAACTCCAAGTCAACTAACCAACCATGTATATTCTTTATAAGCCCACGAAGAGAGTAATACCACCCCCACTGCCTTAGTTGACTTGAGATTTATCCATGTGGGCAACACCACACCTCATCATCTCATCCTCCATTTTGACTTTAAACTACATATTGAAGATACTTCATTTTGATTTCCTCTAAGAAAAAGTTAAGGCAATTAAGTTACGGCTAAATCATTCACAAACATTTTTATTTTTGAGCTGGGAGCTGAGATCTTTAGAGATCCGTTCTAGTACTAGTTTTCACGTTCCTCCTAATCAAGTAAGTTTACATTTTAAGTCTAATTTTATGTCAAAAGACTACCGTTCTATTACCATTACTCTCACCAGCACCATCATACTCCACCTCTCTCTCTCTCTCTCTAATAACTTTCATGGTGGTGGCCTGCTATCCAATAGCTGACTACCATTCCAGTTTTCTCCCTAGCATTGCCCATCGAATAGAAGTGAGAGCAGAAGATAGAGAGAGCAAGAGCGAGAAGAGAATGACGAGGGTATTTCTGTCCTTTCACTTACTTAGATAAGACACGTAAAATGCTTGAGATGAAACGGTAGTAGTGTAAGGTATGAAGGGAACTATCAACAATCCAATAAGGGGGATGGGAGCTAAAATAAAATAGTCTGATATATAGTGGGTGTACCCTCCTAAGAGATCCTAATTGGTGTCCTCACACCGAGCCACCGCCACCCGCCCCCCCCACCCCCGTGTGGGCTTTTCAATAGGCTCGGCCCGTCCCGTCTCGGCCCGATACGGCCCTCGAGACAACCATCAAAGCAGCATCACCCTTCTTAGGGACCTTACTTTTTCCCTCCCACAACTCTTCGTCTCGACTTCTCTCTCTCTCTCTCTCTCTCTCTTCTCATCCACTGCAGGGAAGATGCCGCCCAGGAGGTCGATCGGGGCGAGGAAGAAGATCGTGAAGACCACTCGGGCGGTACGCAAGACGGCAACATCGAAAGCTGCTGCTGCTGCTGCTGCCGCCGCAGCCGCCGCCGCCGCTGCTGCGGAGACAGCTGGTTCTGAGACGGACACAGAAATCCCACAGCAGGAGACGGCCGTGGAAACCCTTCCTCACGAGACGGGGGCGGAAAGCCCCATTATTGGAAGCCCCGTGGACGTTGAGACAGTAGCCGCCGATACGACCGCCATTGTGGATGATGAAGCCACCGGAGGATCCCCCTTCACAGAAGGCCGCTCTCCACCTGCCGCCTCGGAGGGCCAGTCGTCTGATTGGATACCTGATACTGACGCTGCCCCCGGCCCCTCTGAGGAAGCCCGCGAGGGGGCAGATGGTGGCGCCGTGGCAGGCGTCGAAGAGCCCGCTGCTTCCCTTGGAAAAACCTCAGAGGTGGCCGAGGTTGCCACCAAATCGCCGGCAGCGAGAACCACGAAAAGAGTGCGTAAGGTGACGAGGAAGGTCCCTGTGAAAATCACCCCGAGGAAGGTAGCATCTGCGGTTGTGGAGGAAGAGAATGAAACTGGAGGACGAGAGTCCGCCCCAACTGCGTCTATGGAAGGGGATGAAAAGCCTATAGGAACTGAGGCTACCGTCTCCGAATCTGTCGAGGAGAAAAACCTCAGTTGTAATCCTGGCCAATTGTCTGCGCCACAGGGGCCTACCTCGCATGAGGAATCGAATGTTTCTTCTGCTACGGATACATGTGCTGAGGGAGCTACATCCATTGTGGTGCCACAGAAGAAAGTGAGGAAGGTTAAGAGAATAGTTCTCGTCAAGAAATATGTTAAGAAAGTAAAAGTTTCTCATCAGAATGAGAAGCTGGAAGAAACGGAAGGGACGGTGGGAGAAAAGCTCCTGATCTCTGGCAATGATGCAGAGGCTAATAAATCAACCGAAGCAATGGGTCCTGATTTGGAAGCGGAGTCTGCTTCTGCCGCTGATGGGGCTCTGAAAATGGACCAGGATATCATGAGAGGGACAGGTCACTATGAATCTGAAAGTGGGGATGCTGCTGGGATTGAAGCAGGACTGGGTGAGGGTGCTGGCACTAGTAGCCAGGATGTTGGTGATGAGATGATGGGGATGAGTGAGCGCCAAAAACGGAAAAAGACGGAGATATTCATTGGAGGTTTGGATAAGAATGCTATGGAGGACGACATAAGGAAGGTGTTTGGGAAGGTTGGGGAGATTGTGGAGGTTCGGATGATGATGGATGGAAAGACGGGTAAGAACAAAGGGTATGCTTTCTTAAGGTATGCCACAGCAGCACAGGCAAAGCAAGCTGTTACTGAGTTCTCCAAAGTTGAGGTACGTGCCGAGATATGATTCTCTTAAGTTCTAGAAATATTTTCCCTTGATAATGCTTGCTTATTAATTTTAGGTCACCTCGTCAACTACCCTTATCCTCAGAAAAAGAAGTAGGCCTTCAGAATTTATTGAGAAAAAGGAAGCGAGACCATTTTTAGTCTCGTTTGCCTGTCAGTTATCAACAAACAGGGAGCTCAGCTTGTGTCAGTTATCAAATTTCTTTTGTCCTTTCTGATTGGGATCTCAGTTCTGTAGGTGCTTTTATTTTTATTGCCCTCAATTGAAAGGGAAGGGAAATTAGAACTCGTTTCATTATTTCACTCTGAATGTGTGTACTACATATTATATTGTTTGCATCTAGATGAGATTGCTTTATTTACTTTTTTTTGTGCGAAACTATGGTAATAAAAAAATTCGCTGTAACTAGAGTAGTATAAATTAGTTCGTGGAATGTACTAAAAAAGAATATTATGATGGAATAGTTGATCTCACTTGTTCTTCATATTTTAAGATACATTTCTAATTAATGATTCACACAATTAAAAAAACTAAGGAGACATAAGAGATTAAGTTAACCATTCAATAATCCTACTTCATACATTGCAAATTATGAAACTTGTGGAATGACCCTGATCTTTTCCTTACTATGACACCTTCCAAAATTCCAACTTGTAACTAACATTTTCCCCTTATCTTACAATCTATCCCACCCCAAGAATCTGTCGATGACATTTTGGCTTGACAGACTGAGATTGATGATTCTCAACTTTCACCATTTGTCCTCTGTTTCTAAGCTCTTTTAAGTTCCGTATCATTCACTGTCCTTTATTGTTTTTAATGAACAGTGGCCTGTGGTGAAGTCGTCTGTTTATTTCGATCAAGAGGAACAAATAAGCACTAGATATTGCAGGGAGATAGTTATTCTTGAAATTCCATTTCATAGTCTGATTTCAATATAATCGGGCATATTTGAGGGGGCCTTGACAGCCACCTTGATGCTGAAAAATTTCAACTTCAGTTTTCCAATTGTCTGCTTGTATCTCCTTATGATTGCCAGGCTGTTTATCAATATTGTACGGGATTTTTAGAATATGGAAGCCTTATATGGTACGTTCAACCATCTGGCTGACATCAAATATTTTTTCTCTGACACAAAATATGATGCATAATTTTACTGTACTTTACACATCAATGTGACCATAGGGATCTGAAGAGTAAACTGAACTTGGATAATAACTGGATGTTTTAAGAGTTGATTTAATGCTTCATGGACTTTTTCATCTTCTCTACCCTCCTTTTTCTGGTCTAGATGGGTTACTGCTGTGCCTGTCAACTGTGAGATAGGATGTTGCACACTTGGCAGACATCATTGGTATCAGTCAGGAATGCAAGGCCTAACCACCCAAGATGATTGTGACTTGTCCTAGGCAATCTTTTGGCCATTTGGAATGATCATGGGAGTCGGATCTTTAAACACTAGAACTATTCGATGGACAGGGTAGCCATATCCTTCTGGTCTGAAGTGAGACAGTGAACTTCAAGCTTTTTAAGAGGAAAGGGCTTCAGTATTTAATCTTGAGGTGTTTGAGGTCCTGGAATGGTCAATAGCTTCTTCGTGCAGAACATGAAACTATTGCAGAAGCTATTTTTTATGAGAATTCATCGGGTATTGCTTGTATATTCTTCTTTTAAAATTCAAGGCTCAATAGTTACTATCTGCATTAACGTAGCCACGGTATTTGTTTTGGAAACCTCAATGCTGTTTGGGTTCTTGATGATAAGAGTTTTGGCAGTTATTGTATAAAGAATGATGACACTATTCAATTACAAGATGCATGAGATGCAAACATTTAGTTTAAAACTGGTGTGATGTCAGTCTGAGTTGTCTAATATGTTTACCAAGATTGGAAGCGCCTTGCAACCCTAATGCTGAAACAACCTCTATAGATTGCGCGAAATTTAGTTTGTGAATTGAGAACTCCATGTTGTAATGTTCTAACGAAATTTAATTTGTGAAATGAGAACTCCATGTTCTAATCTTCAGACGAAATTTAGTATGTAACTTGAGAACTCCATGTCTAATCTTTTAAGTGTTATATATACAGGAGTAAGGTTTGAGATTAGGAAAATACTCTGTGACAGGGATTTCGTTGCCACTGGCATCTTTAAAATTTAGTCTTATTGTTTTACTTATCTATTGCAAGTTTACATGTTTTCGCCAGTACAATCTCAGGATTTTTTTTCGAAATCAAATATGTTTACAATATTTTGCTTTTATTTCGTACTATGGTCTCTGATTTTTTTCTTTCTAAATATACTGGCGTTCGTAATTAACCGTAGGTTTGTGGAAAACAATGTGGGGCGGCGGCTCTTCAGGGCAATGACACATTATTTCTCGGAAACATTGACAAAACGTGGAAGAAAGATGATGTAAATTTCGATGTCTTGGCTATCACGTCTCTACAATTTATTTCAGTGTTCTCATTTCATCATATGAGTTATTTTTAAATATCTTTGCTTATCAGGTCACCAAGATATTGAGTGAGCTTGGAATTGACAAGATTGACTCCATGACACTGATGCCCGATCCTAAAGATCCTAACTGCAACCGGGGTTTCGCATTTCTTGATTTTGAAACAAATAAAGATGCACAGATTGCTTTCAAAAAACTTCAAAAGAAAGATGCTTTTGGCAAAGGACGTATTGTTAAAGTTGCTTGGGCAGAACCAATTAATGATCCAGATGAAGAAGAGATGCAGAAGGTGCCTTTCTTCCCCCCAATTTTTTTAGAGTTAACATTGGTAAAACAATGCCCAAATACTTTTTCAATTCATTTTCCTAATTTTTGGAGGTTTTGCTCTTGTGCCTGTTCAGGTAAAATCTGTATTTGCTGAAGGCATTCCTCTTTCTTGGGATGAGAAAAAAGTAAGGGAGTGCTTTAAAATGTATGGACAAATTGAACGAGTTGTACTTTCTCGGAATATGCATTCAGCAAAGAGAAAAGACTTCGCTTTTATTAATTTCACCACTCGAGAAGCTGCACTTTCCTGCATCGAGTCATTTGATAAGGATATGAGTATCAATGGCGCTCAGGTTCTAGACTTCTTACTATGTCAGAGAGTTATTATGACTTTGCTGCTGTAGTGCAGCATTTTTGTAATCATATTCATTTTTGTTAAGCAGGTTAGATTGAAGGTGTCTTTAGCCAAGCCTATGCAGAAGGGCAAGAAAAGCAAAGCAGGAACAAGAACTAGTGAGAAAGATAATTTCAAGGGAAAACCAAAGACAGTTCAACTTGAGTTCTCTCGTCTTTCAGGTTTAGCCACACATCTTTTTTTTTAATGACCTTTTTTTTCAACCAATGACAGCTTGATTAAACAATGCGGTCCTTGGTTATTGAATGCCCTTTCCTCAACCACATCTTGCTTATGAGCAATTGATTAATACTTTATTTTTTTCCCTGGCGAGTATGATTCATTTATTCAAATTGAAGGTCCCTCTACATTGTTTATGAACTCAGGCCACAATGCTCATTACCGAAAATTTCATAAACAATGATCATTTTCTTATCACTGCTTACCGAAAATTTCTTCTTTGGCTTTATTATCCTTATCTTCTACTTCTTGTCCCATTCATGAAAAAGGTGAGTGGTGGAACCCTGCGAACCAATAGCAGCAGTCACCTCCTCTGACTTTTAGTCCGGTGGTCCTGGAATGGCCAGAATGACTATCTTCAATTTGTGATTCATCTTCTCCCTCTTGAGTATTTCTCTCTTATTTTCTTCCTTTAATTCTTCTTAGGTTTGATCTTATTGTACCTCTTCCCTTTTTTTTTCTCTTCGCATTGATGGCTCTCTTCTTCTCTGGTAATACTCTGCCTTGCGTTTACTTTCTCTTTCTCTCTGTCAAGTCCTTCCTCTGTTCAGGTAGGTTTACCTGAACTGTCTTTGTTAGAAATGCAATAATGTTCAGGCAGCTTAGCTGAAACTAGGATGGAGAGGGCCATCAGAAGCCAAGCTGGGTGTTGTGGGAGAACATGGGTCTTGTTAACTATGCTCATATGACTTGGTTGTACAGAGCTTCTGATTTGTGCACTGAGAATTTCAGGCTATTTTCTTATAGTCATTTATCCTTCATAGTTTCACTTCTGCAATTATCCTCATGGTAATTTTCAGAGAGTGAAAGGAAATCTGCATCTAGTATATTCTATTTCAAAATGGGAGGCAAAAGATGTCTAATTCCAGTCTTTGCCAAATCTGAGGTAGTTAGCTTTGGCAATTTCTATCCACAAAGAGCAATTTTCCCTGTTGTGTCATAACACTTCTGCTAGATGCGTGTTGTTCAAAATATTGAGGTTAATGAAACTCCATTCCCACTCCTTTTGCGAATTCTGTCCCACTACAAAAAGTGAGACTCCTTCCAAAATAATGCCTTGAGGGTCCTATTTTGGGGATCAAAACCATGCTGTCTGTGGCACCATTTTGATGGAGCCCAGGTAACACAATACATCGGTCAACTGAAAGACTCTTAAATTATGGTATGGGAAAAAGTATTAAAGGCAAACTAGCCAAGTGAGCATACAGTCTCAAATTTCCATGCATTTGTGCAATATCCAGATCATCATTTCAATATCACATGTGTCAAATGAGTGTGAGGGAAAGATTATTGCGAAAAAATTCAAATCGAACTCCTTGAATTAAAGTTTCTGCCAACTCGTTAAAGCTAATCCTATAATGCGCTGGGAAAAGGAGAGGGGAGGTGAGTCTTCTGACTCAGTGGACATTTTTCATTTTGCCTTTCAGAACAGAGTACATGTATGAATAAAAATTCTGATATTAATATTTCGAACTTCACGCATTATAGTAGTAACAATGTTATATCTACAGTACTCATAATGGTGCATCAACATGGAACAGTGAAAGTAACCCATGGAATATTAAGAAATGGGATGTCCTGTATGTGAGGTTTCTTCTGGATGGAATGTGTGGCGTGGCTCTTGCTGGTACTCTGTGACTTTGATCTTTTGTTTTGCTTTCCTCAAGAAGGGACCTTGCTATGAGTTATTCCCTTTGAAGCCTAGTAGTCTGCCACTTGTTATTGGGAACTCCATTGATGGATGTAAGTTAACCTGGAAAGGCCTTGCCACTTTGGTGAAAGTGCTTCAAGGTTTACTGATCTATAAGGCCTTGCCACTGTGCTAATAACCACTTCCCACAATAAAAATCCTCCCTTCCGGAAGAAAATGTTGTATTAGATGTGTCGATACTAATATTTTTCTCTTTGGAACCTTCAGACTCTATCCTAGTCCAGTCGGCAATTAGTAGAATCTTCGGTTATCTTAATTTCCTCCCTTTTAGAAAAAAGTGCTCATCTGAACTTCAATCCTTTGCCCTTAAGTCGTGTGTAGGATTTCGAGTGCTCATATGTAATTAGTGAAAGTGAGTAGGACCGAGTTGGAAAGAACTTATCTCTCTTCATCTTTAAGAAATTGTGCCTTTCATTTTTCTGAACTTCTACAGAACTTTCTTTCCAGGTTATTTGATTCAACTCTTTATGATTTTGTCATGTAAGCGTATTCTATGTATTTAGTGTGGACTTTAGTTTCCGTGTATTGGCAAGAGGTGCATCAATATTTGAGAATATGAAATGTAACTGTCTCAAATTTGGAATGTTAATTTTGAACCTCCTGGGTATTCAAGGAATATGAGGGAAAGTTTCAAGTTTTTATTTCGTTCTCAACTTCAAATAATAGTATCATTAGCAAACAGAAGGTGACTGATGCGTAGAGTTTTTGCTCCCAAGTTTCACATCCTCCATGAGAGACTGGCCCGGCCATCCTCTTTTATAGTATTGAGATTCTGTTAACCTGACAGAGAGTTGAGGGGCCATATGGGCTTGCCTCCATTACTCGTAGCTTTTCGGGAAACCATACATTCCCCATTAAGCAGAATATCATGAGGGTTGTAGTTGTGCATCACCTGACCTAGCTGGTTGATCATTTCTTAAAGCTCATCTTCTTAATGTTATTTATATGTTCATGATCGAGGATTGATTTTACTTCTCCATCTAGCTTCTCTAGGTGGGGGGTAGATCCAGGTGGGGAAGTTGTAGACACGTTTCCATAATTTTTGTCTAGAGTTTTTTTTTACTAAACTTCTTTTGTTGGAGCTCGTTTTCTATTATTTCCTTCAACTATACCTTTAACAGCTGGTTGGTCACTCGTACAACCTAAATTGAAACAGCGTTCCAAGGATCATCATTTTTCAGGTTTTCCTGGGGGAGGTTCTTCGGTTTGGGCAGGACATTTAGTTCATGTAGAGATTCCTAGATTCAATGTCAGATGGAATTGCTTCTTAGAAATCCTGGAAGGTTGGGCCCACTTTTTGGCAATTGGTGGAATCTGTGTCCAAACCCAAATTCTACTAGTCATTTGTTTTACCCCTATCGTGTTCCTAAGAATCTGGAGCCTTCATGTTCTGAAGGTGACTTGACTTAATCTCACATCATTGACAAAGAAGTGGATTGAGTCGGGGATGATTTATTTGTTCCCATGAGAAAATAATTCCTATTTTGGTATCTCAATGGCGAGTGCTCTGTGTGATCATGTTGCCCTTATAGTGGTCGGCCAGTTGTTTCAGGACCTCTACACTGCCTCATGTGTGACAAGTAGATTCATCTGTCTTCTCTGATTATGAGTGCGAAAATGGGGATTTGCATCATTTCTCAAATGGAACAAAAATCATTGCAAGTGAACCAAAGGAAGCCCATATGGAACTTCGTCAAATTCCAATTACCTGACTGGTTGAAGAAGTGTAGCATTGTCAACAAGGGCTGACTGCAGTCAGGATGTGCTAAGGTGTTCATTGTCTCCTGAAAAGCGGAAAAGTGACTATTGGCGGTACTTCCCACTTTAAAGACTGTCAATAGAATGCAAGCAATTTTAACCATACTCATTAAATGACAGAAATTCCCTATGTTTGCTTTTACTGATAAATTATCTATTCCTCTGTAATCAAAGCCCAAGGATCTATGAGCTCACGTTGGACTAACCGATCAGATCAATAATTCTGTATTTTCATGTTCTCTCCCAAAAGTTGATTTGCGCAAGTATTTCATAGTTATAATGATTACAAAGACTGAATCCTTTTGCCATTCAGTGCAAAAGGAACTTTCTCAATTCATTAATTCGTTGGTAGATATTCAACTTATGGAAACATTATTTTGTTCCTGGGATTTTAGTTATCCCCACGATAAATTTCTTAGTTCATTGTTTAAAAATGGGTTGCCTGGGGTTTGCTTTTCTTTAGGGCTTGAAGGTTCCTGCACCTGCTCCTGTCCTTCTCCCCCAAACCTGTCATCTCTTCTTTGTTGAACTGTTAGACACGACAGTTCAAACAGGACCGTGACTAGGTACATATTTTGGAGGTGTGTTTTGTGATGGTAACACCCTGGAAAGAAAATATATCAGACTACTCCTTTCGGAAAGGACAAGGTTACACTGAGAGTCTGAAGCCTTTATCGTGTCTACAGCAAACGGCTCTGATACTGATCTAGTCCCTTTTCTGAGGCCCATTGTAACCTGGACCTAATCCTATCAGCGTTCAATTTATAAGTTTGTTCTTTGTTAGGTAATATAGTTCGACGATTATTACCAAAGAAGTTACGAACATTGTGAAGAAATGCCATTTGTAATTGAAAGGGCCTAGAAAAAGCTTCATACTTGAACATAAAAAGCTGTGCAACAGTCGCAAAAAGATAGAGTTTCTGGTAAACAATGAGTTCCATTGAGGGAAATAAAGCTTATATTTTTCTTTTAATGAGCTTCTTAATTGGATGATTTTGAAAACGCAGAAATGCAACTAGCGTGTATATGGTCTTGTAGCTGTGTTTCTATACTAACAACATTAACTAGTGGGTAATCATGTTTTTTAAAATTCTTGGGGAAGTTTTGCTAGGTTAGCTATTTTAGTCGGGAACACTCATATGGATGTTTTACTAATATTGTATTAGCTTAAAATAACAAAAGATGATAACTTTCTGTTGCATACAGTGAGGGATATGCATCATAGCATTTATGAATGATGTAATGGTGATATATCTCTTTTTAGTTGCGTTCGTAAGATGGGAAGAAAATATTATTCTAACAAATCGTTACTTTTACTCTATATCACTATTGTTAACGTGGCGTTTTATTTGGATTCTTGTTCTGCTGGCTTTTTAGGTGACACAAAGTTAAGTGACTCCATTAAAGGACAAACATCCATGGGTGTTCATGCTGACATTCGTGAAGATAAGGCCTCCACAACTCGTGAATTTCTGCATGTTCTTAGGGAGCAAGCTACTTGGAAGCAAATGAATTATCCTAGAGGTATGTTCCACAACAACAAACGGATGGATATGCACGGACTGAATCCTGTGAATTCGATTAGAGTTGACATGAAGCTTCTTCTATATTTCGATGCAAGATATTGGGTCTCTTTAAATTCTTTTAACAAGAAAAATAACTAGACATTCAAGGATGATTTTATGCTAGTGGATAAAAACTGGTTGGTACTCTTGGTTGAGCTATTGATCATTATGTTTCAACAAACTTTTATGAAATTGTTTATATGGAAATTATTATGTTCTTTTCATATCTTCTGTCCAAGAACGCGTAAAAATATGATCTCAAATTGGATAGCTGAGCCAATTGGAGCCTGTTGGCATGCTCTATCATTGGAAATATTCAACTAAGCTAGACAAGTATATTTTTTTTCCCATTCGTGTTTATTATATTAGAGCCCCTAAAAATATATTTTTGTTACCATTCGTGTTTATTATACTTTTTAAGATTTGAGCATGAGATCTTTGAGCCATATTTTATTCTCGTATCTTAACTGTGCTCGGCCAATGTGAAACCGTTCTGACATGGTCCCTCGCATGAAGGTAGATGATAGGGTTAGGGTGATCAAGCTCTAAATTAGTCGGAATTGAGCGGTGGTCCACGTTTTTTAAGCTTGTTTAGTTTCTCCTAATCAATTTTGACTAAACTAACAATTCGTTTAAGCCCATTAGAGGATTGGCTACCCTCCTCATTTTAGACTGTGGGGCGTTGACTCCGGGGTGAGAAGGGATGTTAAGATGAGAAGTATTGGCCATTTTAGTGTTCTCATCCCTCACATAAATCAGGAGAGTCTGACTCTGTGTTTATTTATAGCTGTCCGTTGATGTCAACTGTGTACAGAGAATGTAAGGGGCTCTCTCAAGAGTGAGATTTCACTATGATCTACTGACAAAGTTCTTATTTGGCCAGGACCTGAAGCTCCTGACTATGGTATTGCTTCACATGGAGGGAAGAGACCCCTATCTGCGCTAGTAATTTCTGAAACTTGGCACTTGAGTGTCTTTTAGTATGTGATATTTGTGTCACAGAAGTCAAAATATTCTCTTTTCTGCAACAGGGAGATAGTGCATTTTATACCGATCCTCGAGCATACCCCCGTTCCCGCCTGGACATCCCTTATCCTGTCACAAGCTCAAGGTCGCTCCCCGTGAACTTGAATCATTGTGGTGGTGATTGGAAATATGTACCCCCATGCATATTTGACTTTAATTGCTTTCCAGATTATTTATTTCGATTTTTGCTTCCCGAGGTTCATTCGTTTGATGTTTCACTACCACCTAATTTTCTGTGTTCTGATATCATTGTTTATCATATTTGTCTTCTGTGGCAATTCTTTTCATGCTTCTTTCAGTTATAGCTCTTTGCCTCATAGCGTGGTGGGTGGTGCACCACTGGATTACTATCGTCCACCAAGCCATCATCAGCAATATGGAATGGGTATTCTTCAAATCTCGGTGCTACCCATATGGATACGATACCAGAGTTAGTAATCATAATATCTGCTGTTTTCAGGACCCAGTTATGGAGCACCAGACATTTCATTCCAGGTATTCCTCATTAATGAAGACATTGGCACAACGTTCTCCTATCTACCATAGAGATTAAACCCAAGCAGCCAACTATAGTTCTCTTGGGCTATGTAAACTAGATAGGTGTTAACTGCTTCTTGAGATCGTCTTCCTGAGACCCTCTTTTCTCTCTGTAGAAAATTCATTTTGATGACCATACTTTTCAGTTGTCTTTATGTCCTTGCAATGCTAGAAGCTATGTAGTTTGTACTTTGTAACCCCCACCCGAGAGTGGCGGAAAATATTCATATCTAACAATAATGGGTTCCTTTTGATGATTTTGTTTTCAGTTTCCACCACATGGGAGAACAGGGAATGCTCCGCCCTACAGAACCGGTCCTTACTCAAGATGTAAGCGTTCTTTTTGCACTAAATTAATAATCCTAATCTCCGTTGAGTTGTTCAATCTACTCTCTCGATCCCAATACCATCTGAGACATCTGCGCCCCCAACAAAGTGACTGATCTAGTAGACTAATATGATTTGTTGTCTAACAGAGGATTTGTTCCACTTCATGAATTAGGAGAAAACTCGGAGCTTTCAGGAGGATGATTTCAAGGGAGGAAAAAGCTCACCTTTTCCTCCTGTTTCATGTAATATTGCAGAGAACAACAGACTACACAGGTCTATCTAGAGAGAGGAGGAACCTGACGAATACTCAATAGCCATATGTCCTTATCCCCTTTATTTGTCCTGGCGAAACGATTTTGGGGCTTTTTCTCTGTTAAGTCCTCAGATGGTCACACTCTGTCCAGGAGCCTTCAATGGACGGAGGGGGTAGGTAGAATGTTCTTGGTTATGGAGGTAGGGTTGATGCAATGTAAGGAGATCTCCGAGCAGCCTGAGTTGTTAATTTATTTCAGTCTAGTTAGTGTGATCCTGACTTGATTTTTCTGTTTCCAAACTTAGTATGAACCTGAAATTCCAAAAATTATCCAGTTGCCTTGTGCAGATAAAACCGGAAGTAGAGAATGCAGAACATGTAGTCATTGGGGAATCATATTTATTGCTAAAAATGAGTACATTTGCTGCTTGGCAATGAACTAACCCCTCAAAGGAGGTGGGTAGGTCGTTTCTTCAGAGTTCACAGCCCCAACTTTGTATTTTCTCATTAGGATCAATCCTGTTCTCATTGTTTTCTCCCTTTTGCCCAAAGGCTCACATCGCTAACCCTATCTCTCTTCCCTGCTTAATATCATCTCCTCTGGCTTGTCTACTCAGAGTGATCCCTCCTTTTGTCTTCCTTTTAGCCTTATACCATTTCATTCCTGTCTCGTGAACCCCTCTAGGCCTAATTGCTCTCTCTCACTATCACCACATGTTATGTATGACGATTTAGGGTGCATTGATGGCGTTTTCAGGGATGCAAGGCAAATAAATTTTAGTGTAGTTGTGGACTCCTTTCTATGAGAACAAATATGAATGTTACTTTATTTCATGTAATTTGTGGTTAACTAATTTTTTTTTTCCTTTCTGTAAATTGAAATTATGCATGATATTTTATGGAAGTTTTTGACATTTTGTAGTAGTGTTGGACACTTTTAGGATGCCAAAATTGACATTTTGACATTTTATTATCGGAGAAAAGAATAAATTAGGCAGCATAACTAGCAAAAAGGACACATTTCATGTCTAGCTGGCATGTATCATAACCAGCATTACTAATTTCATGAGGGTTCTTGGCTTTATCTAAGATGACTACTGAGCCAAGATCATACATCTATTGTATAGCTATATACCATACATACTAGAGAGGCCATCCAATGGAAGCATAGTTTCAACTAAATTTGCATGGTTTAGATGGTTTAGAACAAGAGATAGCGGTGATGGTTTAGATGAGGTTAGTGCTATCAACAGTACACTGTTGGTGTTAATGATAATACAAAGAAATTGGGTTTCAGAAGCGACAGATGGTGCTGAGAGATGTCAAATGAGGATTTTAACGGATAAGATGAATTAAAGAAGAAAAATGGGGAGAAGAAGACATTGATGAGGAGCGATGCTTTGAGTTTAAAGGATGATATTGATGAGGGGGGCTGATTGTGATCTAATAGATGTAAATATTTATTCGATTTTCCATTTCGATTTTCACTCTCGATGTAGAACTAATGCTTCACCAAGGCGCCCTTAAAACTTACTAGCTCACAGTTTTGAGTCCTTTTGTTGATATTTTTGTCCCTCTCATTTGGCATCTAATGTAACATTAACACGTTAAATTAATATTAATTCCTTTGATTTATTAAATCGATTGTTTACTAATAATTTTACCAACTTTATTGGGACTTAAAGGTGGGGAATTCATTTAAAAAATATTTTAGTTCGGAAAATCCTAATCTACTTGGGAACCCTAATCTTCAAAAGCTTAATAAACCCTAATTCTATTCGGATTCTATTTTTGCTGGTAAGGGTTTTTGCTTTGGATGTACAATGCTTTCATTGGCGCATAGGCAGGCTAGAAGGTATCCTATTGGGCTAAAACATTTGGGTGGTAAGATGTACCTAGTTAGTCATCGAGAGAGCCCGCCTAGAGCAGTTGGACAGGTAAGGCAGCCGTCTCTAGCCGCCTACCACCGAGCTCCTGTAATGAAATATTGTTTTGAGATGGTAGCTGTTGCTCCGAAGTATGCACACGTTTTTCTAAGATTTTCTCTCCCTTTCTATGAACATAGAAGGAGGGCGTGATGAAAGCGAATCAAGAAGATGAATAAATATGGCCTCAATTGAGTTTGTCGTCCAATGTTGCGACCTTGTCGTCAATCTTCTTCACCCGGTCTTGGATTTGATCTACATAGTTGAAGAGCCACCTGGGTGTGTGAAACAAATGGAGAATCGGTTTGTTGATGAGGAAGAGGGCTGATAAGATGTATGATGTCTGTGAATCCACCAATCATTATGAGGAATGTAGTTCACCATCCTTATGAGAGTGTCTCAATCTATGAGGTTTCCTTATGAGGATGTTTAAGTGGTTATTCCTTCCTACTAAGATTTACCAAGAAGTGCAGGAGTACTTGGGCGACAATGAAAACAAGGGGTGGAGAAATGGGTGGCCAAAGGGTGTTCCTCATTTGTTCTACTAGGATGGAACAAAGGTTAGGTTTGATTTTTCATGAAGAATGTTATAAAGAAGGAAAGCAATCTTCGCAGGTAGATGGTCAAAGGCTTTACTTTTATGGGTTAGAATGTGAGATATCAAAACGTGGATTTCTGATATTTTCCTCCTCGTCAAGCTTTGAGACACCTCTAGATGGAATATGAAGAATTTGATGAGGGCGTTCTTATATAAGAATTTGATCAGCTCCTCGGGCGATTTCGGCGGTGCCGCCAGAGGGCGGCGTGCATTAGTGATTTGGGCGTTCGGAGAGAAGGGTTCGAGGTACGATCGAGATGGAGAAGTTGAAGGAGGGTGGGTCTTACGTCCGAACTGATGAGCGAGGTGGTGCTAGCCTCGCTCCTACGGCTTTGCCGTCAGTTACCGAGGTCGCTGGCCGTTTGAATAGAGTCGGGGCTCCCAGAGAGACGATCTCAGGTTTTAGGTCTCAAGTGAAAAGGAACGCCTGGGCATGAAGGCCAAGGTGTCGGAGTATTTATTTACTCAGGTTCGACAAACCCTACTCGCGACTAGACAGTGTGTGCGGCGGGAGAAAAAGGGTTTCTTCTGCAGGTGGAGGTGCTAAGGTTGGAAGCTTGTTGAAATACAGCTAGGGCAGGATCCAGTGGTCCCAGAGAGTGAGCGGGCAGAAGGTAGATTCAAGGTGTATTTTATTACGTCTACCACAACATCAGGAGCGTGTGGGTGTGCTGTTTATCTGGAGTCACGGCAGTCTCCGGTTGGAATCAAGAAGACAAGCTGCAGCGGTGGAAGGTTTAGTATAAATCAAAGCTGAGGTAGGCCCATGATTGAAGTTTGTTTCCTCTCCTGATCCTCGAACAACAATGGGCGGAAAAGGTAAGGCACGATCAGCTCCCAGCCAATTAATGAGGAAAAGCGACAGGACCACTCACACTCTAGAGCAAGAAGAATGTATTGGAAGGATGTATGCCCCACAAAACGAGATGCGTTGGCAAAGCAAGAAGAAAGACCTTATGACTGGTGTTAGCCAGTCAAACCCAATTGATTGTGGTGGGGAGGATGGGGATAGGGTCTCAAAAACTTAGGAGCCACTAGTGCCAATGGAACTAACGATAAAAGAAGAGAATATGGTACTCGAGTCCCATATTCAAGAGCCAGAACAGGACAGAAGCATGGAGAGAGAGATCCCCGAAGGGAGTAAGAGATCCACTGAGGCACAACTATTAGAAGGGGCTGAGGAAGAACAGCTGGCAGCCGGGGAAGATCAAATGACAAAAACAGGAGCGGAAGTCTCCGCAGATTCACCGGACTTGGTGTTGTTGTGCCAACATGCAGCACTAGCTTCAGAAACGTTTGAACATCTGAGTATCATGATGGATGAAGGCTTGACTAGAGAGAGTGTGACTGTGAACACTAGGGGGGATGAGAATATTGAAGGAGAATTAGATCAGCAGAGCAAAATCGAGCCATCTAATTAAGTGGTGCAATCAACGCACAACCAATAGGGTGGCATGGAAAGGACTCAGAGCAGGACTCCCTGCATCCGGTGGACCTATCACAACAAATCTTGCACAGAAGAATGCTAGGCGTGTTTGAGTTACTATCACAGGCAAATGAAGAGGCAAACAAGCAAATCTACAAGGGTCAATCAGAATTACTTGATAAATTAGAAAAGGTCATAGTGGCAGATCAACATGCTGGCATCAAATCTATTTAAAGGGAAGCCTTGAGGAGTATTATGACAAGTGCCCTAGTGGTAGAAGAAGGGTAAACAACGGAGGAGGAGAAGTCACGGAGCAGCATGATGTGGTGTAGGAGAACGAGGAAGTATTAGTGATAGAAGAAAACAACAGAACTGAAGGGGAGCAAGTAAAATCCTCAGGAGAAATCTCAACCTTGGAGGATTGATATCTCCTAACTCCTCTTCTGATTTTATTGTTAGCTTGTCATTCATGTTACTATGTAGCAATATTAATTCTGATATTATTAGGAGGTTAGGAGGGAAAGGGAAATTCTGCTGGAGGGTAGTAGGGGCATCCAAACAAAGACCACTTGTAAGCAGGGGGTCCCCATGATAGGCCATGGGCCACCAAAAGGTATAGGGCAGGCAAAGGGCAGAGATGAGGCCCAAGTATTAGAGGTTCAACCTGACCTGGTTGGAAAGTTTTGGATGGGCCTTTCACATTTGAGAGTGGCCATAACCAGACCAGAAATAGGAGGACCTAAATGTTCCTATGCAAATGTTACTCAAGAACAGGATATCAGCTCACAATTCATGAGTGTTA